CGTTTATTGCGCAAAGGAAATAGATAAAAAGTAAATATTGCGACTAGAATCATGAACGCTATGCAGTTGCCAGTTAATTCTTCAGCGCATCCTTAAAAAACAGAGCTAAAGATATGAGAATAATGCGTTTTGTTTAGTATAATCTAAAATAGCCTACCAGAACCAAATGCTCCATTCGGATTATTCTTTGTTTTGGCCCTGGTATTTTTTCGTCATTTGTAAGTAAGGTAGGCGAATCACATACTATTACTTGAGCCAGTTCACTATCGCACGGCAAAACAAAAGCATTAGTTTGCTTGTGTAAAGAAAGATGTCAAGCTGCCAAAGAAGAGCGGTAGCATATCCAGTGGCTTGCCACAAAAGAAAGAGCCATACTCGTGACAGATCGGGACATGCCATGAGCTAAATGCGAAGTTGGCGTGAGACGCTTTAATAAGTCTAAGAAAAGATACAAAACTGCGACCCATTCGTCATTGAACCTGACCTAAGCGAACGTCAACGGCGTTATAACCGATGTTATCACTGCAATAAATGTTAAAGAACAAATTATGAAGAAATTATTTGTTTCTGCAAGAATTAAGCTTTTCATGTCATACTAAACATAATCAAAAGTTATGTGGAATATGGTATAGTAGGGATTAGGTACGGTAACAGTTTGACTCCTTCACTTTTTTTGTAGTGACTCGGCTTAGCCAGATTGTCTATTTTCTTTCACCTTCAGAAATTCATTTAGGTTTCGGCTCCTTGTCTTGATCAAATGAATACTCCGTATCAATTACCTTCCCCTTTCCTTTGTCTTATGATCTGTCGCTGTACTGCTTCTAACTTTGCTTGTCCAGATAGCTACTTTTCTAGAGACTATTTCTACATAGAAAAAAAGCAAATTCATGTAAAGAAGGGAGACTTTATTATTGGCATTCATTATCAAAGTTTTGAAGACTAATTTTTTAGGTGAAAATATGAGAAAGCTCAAAGTCTTGTCTGCAATTTTTTGAGTATTTGAACCTCGGCATCAATCGTCTATGATTGAATAGATTTGCAGCAGAAGAAGCAAGCAAAAAAAGATTTTGGATCTTAAAAAAACAAGCCGATTACTTCACATTATCTGCCTTTGAAAAGAGGCGTGTGTTAATAGAAAAAAGAGCAAAATAGACTTTTATTCTGCTGAGAAATGCATAGTTTGGAGGTGTTCCAGCAACAATCTTGACAAGCAAAAAAGCCTCTTAATTATGGCCTTAAGTACAATTTCAGCTTTTTGAAAACCCTGATTCATTCCGAGCACCACTTAACCTCGCATCTACCGCGATGTTACGACGTAATAAACCTCGCGACATCTTCGCATCCTCTCAGCGGCGCGTAGATATTGGAAACTGTTCGTATCACGCTTCAACAAAATATTAGATTTATACACGGCTATGGATATTTCAACAAGAAATGCTAACAATCGAAAGATAATGTGGGCTGCGCCTCTCACATTGCGATCTTCATTTTCGCAAAATGCAGGGCGTTTATACCACCCGAGAGGTCAAGTTTGTAGCTGGTCTAAATGATTCTTAAAATAAAATTATGCTTATCTACGAGATTACTGGTAGCCTCGAGTATATAAGCTGGACTAAGTAGGAATGAACTCATTTTGAACAGGGATCATACTAATCACTAATCCTTCGCGATGGAGCCTCGTCTTGCTGCAGGACGTCAAGCAACCGAACAGCGTGCGGAGATGAATCTGCCAAATGTCGGCAGCAAGACTACGGAGAGTGCTGTTGCGCTCGCGGATCAACTCGTTCTCGAATTTCTTGTTATGGAGTTGACAGAGCCACAGGTCGCGCAACTAGCAAAAACTGCTGGTGATGGGTACGTCATTGCTGTATGTTCATGGATACCCGCTTACAATAATATTCTAGAGCACAACTTCAGTTTATCAGCACCATGTTTGATCGGAATCCGATTTTGGAACGCTTGGCTGCTGTAAGCAAAGTTTCGACATTACGCACTTTAGAGTTATTTCGGTTCTATCTCTATCTCCATACTAAGTCGTACTTTGGTCACCTCTTTTCATTTAATATATTCATACATAATCGAGTAAAAGCTTTTCGCGACAACCCACTACTCTTATTATCAAGTATCAAAGCTGAAATCAACGGCAATACAGTAAAACTTCAAAAATAGAAAAGTGGAACTGTCACACAGTCAAAGCAAACACCACTGAGTTGTCGTCATCCTGGTCTGCTGTCGAATTGTCGGTTTCTCCTGCGTCGTTACCTAGCGACTCGAAAGTTCCCTCTTTCACCGTAATACTTTACCATTCGTTGCAGTGGGGATGCACAGCATTGACTACATTAACAACTTTGCCTGAACCCTTCGTGGTAAGGGAGTGAGGCAAAGATCACCTATAAAGCACTTCATATGCACTCGACCAACGCCAGAGGGTTTACAATACGTTTAATCCTCGAGTGTCTAAGTATTCATAAACATACAAGCGGCTATGTTCCTTCCATTATCTTTTGTATTTCAAAAGGGTTCATACAATGTCGAACAATTTATGATAATTTAGAGAGCTTGTTAAGCACAGTTAGAAGGTTATCAGATATGTTTCGACAATCCTCTATATTGACTTCCTCGTAGAGAGGAACCACTGGAAAAGTTCCATTTTGTCGATTTTTTTGTTTTGAAGATAGAAGATTGGATTCGTTGCATAAATTTGCTGCGGATGTTCTCCAGCTCGTAGAAGATTAATCGTAATACGGTTTAGTTCTGATACGTGCCGTTATGCTTCAAGCTATGGCATGCGCCTCTGCAGTTAGATTCAAGTTAGCCTTCCACGAAGGCTAGGGGTCTTAAGATACTGGCGCGAGTTTGCTGCAAATTCTCTTAGTGGTTGATTCCACATTTTCTGAAGACGTGTAGCGTTCTCACTGGCACTTTCTCAGGATTCTCTTTATTTTCCGCATCTAAAAACTTCGATTACTTGTGCATACTAAACTCCTTGCAAGACCACTTTGCAATAGGTGCTATAGAAACGGTAGTAAACTCCCTGTATGTCACGACATCAAGGTCGCAACATGTGACGAGCGTGGCTCACGGCAGATGCATCTATCTCATACTGTCTCGTATCTCTCAACATGCGAGCCTGACGCGGTGCGAACACCTCGCAACATCGGCGCGTTGTTAG